TGCTAGCGGATATGTTCCTAAAGTCGTAACTACAATCCCGTACCCTGTCTCGAATGTGACCTACCGCATTAGACTTATTACCGGGTTTGTATTAACATGAGCATAACGACGGGTTCCACATGTGGAGCAGGATCTGCTTACCCTTCCGGAGCACCTGAGATCACCCCCAGTTTATGGTGGGGTTCGTGTTGCTCAGTCTTTAGTTTTCTATGTTGTGTTTTGTGTACTATTGTTTGTCTGTTTGTCTTTTTCTTTTTTAGCCATGGCGTTGTCAGTTTATTTTCGACTTATGAGTTTGAATGTCCCTTTGGTATCTTTGACCCCTCTTTTAAAGAAGAAGGTATGATGACACATGTCTGACCCCGTGAATTCGAAAATCAAAAACTCTCATAATAAATCAATCAACATTTATATAATTTCATTTCATTTTTCCCCACCTTTATATCATCAATATACCAACTTCATCTGCATATGGGATACACATTTCCCAACCCATTCGGTTTTCAAGCGCTTGCAGCTGCTACTCAGGCTTTGTAAAACGTCAACAGTGTCTGAGCAGAAAGTTAATAACCCAGGGTTATGTCAAAGAACGTCTCGTCCTTTTTCTAAAAGTTCATCGGAAGATACCAAGACCTTGTTGATAAATATTCCATATCAACTTCACAAATAATACATGATGGTATTGAAGTATAGATTCTAGGTACTGACGTTGTTTATCATCTTAATTACGTGTTATAGTGTTCTTTTATCTGTCTTAGTATATTATTAACAATTACTGTTTAGTCCATTTTTGGTAATATCCTTTTGGCGCGGCTGTGTATTTATAAAACCCGCCATTGTGCTATTATGCTATGGTCATTTTTTGTATTCTTGTCTTTCATTTTGGCTTATGTGCATTGTCTATATGCTATTCTGTTTTCTTTGTTGACATTGTTGTTTGTTTTTATAGTTATTAAGATAATAACATAATGTTGACTGCTGTACCCCAATTTTTGACATACCTATTATGTCTGTTTGTTTTGTTCGCACATTGTTGTCAATATAATGGAATTTTTTTGCCACTGTCATACAAGTAAGAGTTTTAGCTAGCTACAAAACCAGGTTTATTCCACTATTTTCTACATCAGGTAATGCCTGTACAAAGTCAGGAATATGACAGTTGTTTTAAATTCGTCTGGGCTTTGTCTTTTTCATGATTTATAGGTGTCGTACCTATCGTACGGTCAGTTTCCCGCCGAAACGGAGGTTTCTGTCATTCAGCACGACAGCGCCAAAGCGATCGGTACTAAATTACTTGGTAATTTTTTATTTAATTAGTCCTCCCACTTTTTTTATCATTAATAAGATGAGATTGATAGGACTGAGGGGTTGTTTTTCTTTTTGATATTATGTTGCGTGTTATACTAGTATATATTTGTAGATATACATATTAAGTGTAAAATTGAGAATGGAAATGGGGAATGTGTCAAAGAGACAACAACCCGACCATAGAACAGACAACAGCAGAAGGTCACCAACAGGTCTTCAATGCAGCGAGAAATTCCCGCACCCGGAGGCGTCCTTCAGCTGGCCCCTAAACAAATATATATACTAGTTCAGTGATAAGTGTGTATTGATTGTTCATGTGTAACATATTTGTCGTGTAGCTTTGCACTTTAATTATGAGTTTTTGTATTGTTCATACTTTAGCAGTATGTTATTTCCTTTACGTGGTTTTCAAAGCATACTTCGTCATGGGGTGACGTATATGATACCAGTATTTTAGAGCAAATTTCTTTAATACAGAATGAAGGTTGTTACAAGAGAATTCAGATGTGCAAAAGACACATTGGCAAGTCTGTCAGATATGCCTTTTGTATTTTTTGAATTGTGTTTCATGTATTTACTTAAAACTTCAAACTTCTTGCAAGGCATAAGAGACTGCATTACCTGCTAAAATATTGTCTCGTATATTTACATACGAGTCTAAATTTTACCCATTGAGATATTTTGCTGCAAACAGTTTTATACAAAGATGTGTATGTAGGTAAAATATCTCTTTGTGTAAGGCTTTCCGCGTAACAAATAAAAGCGATTGCAACAGTCAACACATTTATGACGTCATACTGACATCAAATCTGATTTTTACTGAACTTTAGTGTCTATATCATACCACCCGATTCATTAATCAGTAGACCTTACATAATTTTAAATGTTTTATTGCTATTTGCAATTTCAGGGGTCAAATAATGGCGTTTATTGTGCCTACTATTTTTTTGGGAGTGCGTCTTTAGCTCGACGTTTGGTCAACCCAGTCCAGATGTATACATCGCCATTCATAAGACCAGTAGTTAGCACTTCTGTGTTAACATGGGTTATCATTGATATGGTCATAATTATAAATTAACTGTTTACACAACTTTATATTTTTCGAAATAAGTGGTGTACTAATACTTTTAAATTTCAGAATCGGTTAATACTAACTTCTGGTCACGTTTCTTTACCTTTTTCTTTCATCACGGGTTTTCTCTCGCACTTACGCTGTGCGACTGTCGAAGGTCTAACGAAAGGTGTCATGGTAAGGGTCACTGCATACGGAAAAGGTTTCGGTGCATGAATAAGAGTACAGAAAAACAATAATTCAATAGCAGTACATTTCTGACGATTTTGATACCATTACGGATTTTTTTATAAGAAAGTATATGCACACGCTTTTATTGATTGTAAAACTTAGTCATTCAAGTATATAAAACATTTTTAACCTTTTTTTATTGAATGGAAAGTATCATATGACTTAAAGAAATTTTTAAAAGATAAAAAAAAACAAAAAAAAAAGTTTTTAGAGTTATTGCCCCTGGAAAGATAATATGTGGGAGACATTGGATAGTTGTTCTTTTATTCAAACTCGGTTAATAACTTTTGTTCTTTTTATCTAATGATTTTCGTGTGTTATAATTATGTTCGTTTTTCCCTTAATGTTGCCCAATACAGTTAAAGTTATGCATTGGTTCCCTTGTATATTATAAAGTCAAGTCATTGACATTGATAGATTAGCACAACCAATGGCATGCATCCAATTTTTATACACGTAGGAAATAAATATGTTATTGTGGTACCCGTCGTAAAATATTAAAAGCAGACACACAACCATACGTTCTTATATCTTCTCTCATCGTCTATTTTTGTCGTGCCGTCGCCTGCACCACAACATAGGAAGGCAAAGAGGAAACTGAAACGAATAAAGATATGGTGGATATATTAGCACATTACCTTTCTGTTTTAATCCAAAGTGACTAAAATACAAAAACAAAACTAACTTTTAAGATGGCTTTACCAGATACAATTGTTATATGATTGTAGCAAAATCTACTGTCATCACTTATGCCGGTTATTGAAATGTTTTAGATCATGTATACATTTCAAAAACTGTTTGTGTTCGAGATTGAATAACACCATTTTCGAAATTCGATGGAACAAAGGAGTATCTTAATAAAACTGTATTGGTATACTAGGGAGCAATGAAAAACGCAAGAACAAACATACACAAAAATTATGACTCGCAGTAAGAAGTTGCATAATTGATATGCATGAATGAAAGGAGAGGTGTGTTATAAGTCAACGTGATAGCAAGCTAAAGACAAAATAACCAAATGATATCTATAAAGGTAATCTTAAGCTATTTGATCTCGTCACCTGAACTCTGCATGTCATTACTCGAAATATAGGCCATCATTTAAAACCATCTTTCAAGTCTTTTTATTTGATATTTGCTGTCAATTGCGTCATTTCACTTTACATTATCGTACAGAAATAGAATGTTCTCGACGGTAATCAAAAATGAGATTTCAGCAAATAACTGTTTCAAAATATGTAGTGTATCGCGTTTATTTTTTAGAAGTTTAAAATTTTACTTACCGGCATATGGCGTAAAACATTTCAAGATAATAGCACTAGCTATATATTGGATAGCGTTTCGTTGTTCCGTCAGTTAAACCATGATCACGTGATTTCCCTAATATGAGGGTCTGGATAGGGTTTGCAGATTTGGAGAATAAAAGGCAAATACTACAAAAAAGGGGCCAAACAAATAAAAAATTGAGAAAAATGGGCCAATAAATGAAGAATAATAATGTGCTCTAATGTAAAGTGTATAGAGAAAATGGGCAAAATTTATAAATAACAGTGATAAAAGGCTTGAAAATAAAGAATACAAAATTGAAGGACCCCCATCCTGACCCTTCAATATGGGATTAGATCAGGAAAATATATATTAGTTATACACGTGACATTCCTACAAAAGCTTTCCATTGTTGGCAGAAAAATATGTAAATAAAAAATAATCATAAGGGAACTTCTATTCCAGGTTATACTGGTCAGTGGATGGATATACATATTTATCTGTTTATATATTTATATGTTTTCGAGACAGAAATGTCTTTTTACTACCGTGATCTATTAAAGATTACTTTTTAGGAAATGTAGTTGAACATATGCCAGATTTTATGTCCTGGCAAGAAAATGAGAAAATTAAATATCTTCTTTGCCCATCAACCTCAAAAGAAGTAGAAGGCTTAAAGTCCTTTTTAAAACAGTCATTAGAACTGAGGACAGGGCCCGGGACTCTTAATTTATTTATATAAATATATAAATAGATTGTTTTGCTTTTTTACTTATACATGTTTTATGGGATATGTTTTCCTATGGGTTTGTTTTTGTCTTTTTGTGTATGTTTGCATTCATATAATGTTTATATGTTATCTATTTGTATGTTAATGTCACAAATCTTTTTAAAATGATTTATGATGGCAATAAAAAAAAAATAAAGAAAAATAAAAAAAAACAACTAATTAACGGTATAAATATTTTAATTGTTTAATAGATGCAATAAGTAGGATCAGAACTCCATACTACTTATTTAAAATGGAGTTCTGGTAAAATCCGTTAAATCAAATAGGTACGTGCCTATGTGAAATATCTAAATATACCATATGGTTTTCAGAGGTATCGTTTAAAAGGAAATAGTATCCACTAGGTGTCGCTGTATTTTATGAATGAGCAGACTTCGTATGCCTTGTTAGGAATCTGTGGTAAGATAATCTCTTTAAGAAATATAACCTGCATGTTTTATAAAACAGTAGAATAAACTTCATGAAAACACTTGTTTCAGAAAACTTTAAAATGTATAAACACTATCAATTTGCATAGAATTCGCAGACATGCACTCCCAAAGTTGAGTCAAGCAGCAAAGAAATTTGAGTAGGAGGACTGCGAGTTATTAAGTACACAAGTTTAAGACTTTCCTCAGAACCTAGCATTTTAACTATTTTGCGAAACTGTGTATGTTAGTTGTGATCAGTTATGTACAATAATGTTCTCGATCATATTTACTCCTCCTGAACACCAGGCAGTGGCGGATCCAAAAGGGGGAGGGGGTCCAGGGGTTGGAACCCCCCTTTTTTTATTACGATCAATGCATTTGAATTGGGACATATGGTTGGAACCCTCCCTTTTTAAAAATGGCTGGATCCGCCCCTGCCAGGAACCCCCAAAAAATATTTCATCAGATTTGATGTTTCTGAAACGAAAAAAGTATTTCACTTTTATATGTGTATACTTTGTGGATACGAGGCCTTAAAACTCTTCCAACTGCATGTTTGTCTGTACTTAGAGTAATTTTTTAGGTCTAAACAGCTATCCAGTTTGTCCCAATTGTTATTATTAACCTTAAAATATTCATAAAAAAAATAGTTTCTCATGTATATTAATTCAGTAAAATCCATGGTCAATTTTGGTCATCTGAATGCTTCCTTTGAATTGAACTATTTGCAATTTCTTTTGATTGTTAAATTACAACAGCATCTAATTAAAGTATGATATCCATTTTCTGGTATACGTTGTACAAATGTACATCGTCTTCAGTGGCGGATCCAGAAATTTTCATAAGTGGGGGTCCACTGACTGCCTAAGAGGCCGGGGCTGCTCCAGTCATGCTTCAGTGATTCCCTATATAATCAACCAAATTTTTGCCACAAAAGGGGGGCCGCTCCAGTCATGCTTCAGTGATTCCCTATATAATCAACCAAATTTTTGCCACAAAAGGGGGGCCCGGGCCCCCTGAAAAACCCTCTAAATCCGCCTCTGGTCTTAACCATATTGTGTAATAAATGTATATGAAAATAGAATTACCCTTTGTCCTTCATTTGTGTCCTTTTCCTTATATATTTTTTTTAAAGAGAGGCAGAAGATTTCAAAGAATATTCAAACTCATAAGTCGAACAAAAGCTGACAACACCATGCAAAAAAACAAAAAGACAATCAACAATATACAAACCACAACAAACAAACAAAAGAATGATCAACACAACCCCACCAATAACTGGGGGTGATCTCAGGTGCTCCTAAAGGGTAAGCAGATCTGCTTCACTTGTGGCACCCATCATGTTGCTCATGTACATGTACATTTTTCTGTAATTACAAATTTGGTGATACATTTAAGTCTCATTTGGTGGGTGATGTCACACTTGGAGGAAAAGAGGACAGGACTATGGTTACGACAATTGGAACATATCTATCCTCATCTGTGAAACAGATTTACCATAACAGTTAACCAACTTGTGATGCATGGCATCTGTAAAAAAATTTGAAGGGAACTTTTCCACCTCAAACCCTTGGTTTTATACATGACGTTTCCTTGTATTAAAGCCGCAACTGTCTATCAAGGAAATGTAAGCTCTGGAATATCATATCAACTGGGAGATACATTGTATATTATACTCTATAGTCCATATGCATTGGCTGCTGGAATGTTGCGATGAAATTCATTTCTTCTTTCATTGCGAATTGAATAAAGATTTAAGAAACAATTACTTCTCTGAAATTATTTCTCAAAATATTGACTTTATGAGTTTCACAAAAAAATAAAAACCTACAATATATACAGTACTCAATCCAACAAATTTTCCACAGGTTCATGTACAAAGTCTAGGTTTCTTTTTAAAACAGTCAATAGAGCTGAGGACAAGTGACTCTTAATTAACTGATGGTTATAAGATTTGTTGTATAATATGATGTAATTTGTATTTTGTTTTGTCACTGTCCTATATATCATATGTAGATATGCTTTACGACAATTGATATATATATATATGTTTTTGTCACAAACATGTTTAATTTGTTTATATAACAATAAAGATTATTATTATGTAGAAATGGAAATTTCACAATTTGGAAACTTAAACCACTTTTGTGATAAAGTTTTGATCGCAACCAACCGTAATTGCCAATTTGTAGAGGTGTAATAAATGTACCACCAAATCATAGTACGTCACATCCGGTTGCATACGAAAAAGGGTCGATAAAAAAAAATATTCCCTTGAATTTGACAGTTGCAGGTAATTAATCCTACATTTCATCATGTTCATTGCAGTAAAAAATTTCTGGGTCATAAACATATATCTTGGGTAAGTCAAAGCACCATTATTATTTTATTTCGGCTTTCTATAGAATATTTTGGAAACTTCAGGTTACATGGTTACTAAATTAAAGCTTGTACACAGTTAAAAAAGAGGTGAAAATTTGATTGGTTAATTTCCAGTGATGGTTATTTTCTTATATGCAATGAAATGTTATGTGAAATTTTGTCTATAGTACTGGACAGGATAAAACTTTACTCATGCCAAGTATTTCTTTATTGAAACAAAGATAAATTCTGCAAAATTTTTTGAAAAGTGCAAATTTAACAAAGACTAATAGGGGAAATCAATGGTGGTATTACACCTAGAGATCGTAAGTCCAGATATGAGGCAGACTCATTGTCTCATTGGCAATCATACCACATCTCCTTATTTTTATATTAACTGTGTCTGTGGTATCCTTTATTTCGAGTTTTATGGGATAGATATTAGGCATTCAACATATAGTCACCAAAGTTTTAATTATTTAATGTGAGGACAACATCTATATAGTGGAACATGAAGTTAAAGATATAATGCTAGCTCCTTTTAATTCTTCCTAAGAAGCTCCTGTTTGAAGTCTGCAGCATCATGATCATATGAATAAAGGAACAAGTTGACAAGAAGATGAGCCCAGTTGGTTCCTATTTGAAAGCTAAATGCCGATTTTTTTTTTTTTTTTAATTTTAATGTGCTCCAAATGTAACAATATGTTATTAAAGGAGAATCTTGACAATGTCAGTTTCAGATATTATTTTATTTAAATCTGAGTGGGTTTTTTTTCAAAGGGAAATAACTCAAACAATCTTACTAAAATATGAATGGCTAACTCAACCTTAAAATATGGCATGTTGTTAAAAAATACAATAAAAGGGATATATATATGTTGTTATAAATTTCCAAAAAAAATTTAAAGACATTGCGTAGAGGAAATGTGACATTTCCCCACATACATGTACGTACATGTACAAAATTTAGCTCTTGTAGCAAGCACTTGATTTGAACTAAAGCATTATCTCAGTTTAGTAACTCCCACTTAAATGATTTACACTAAATAAAATGGGTAAATCAACAAACATCAGCATGATGAAATTGTCCTTTCACATTGTTTCAGAAGTCCAACACATTTTTGGACCAGTCAACCTGTGTGTACATATGCAGTAAACTGAAGACCTGATAATTAGGTGGAACATTAAACAATTGTTGAACATTGGAAAATGTGTAATTTAATTGCTCCGTATATTTTCTGCAATTAACATGATTAAAAGAGTAAAAAAAAGTTTTAGTTTTTTTTTTTTACCATTGCATTCAGTTATTTAGTACATTAATACACACATGCATGTATATTTTTATAAATAATACAAGTTTTTTTTTAATATAATACCCCAGTAGAAAATATATAATAATATATTTGAAGAATACACATAGATATGACCCATCACCATGATCACAGATTCATCATTCAAGTGAATCACAAGATTGGCTCATACCAATTTTGGAAAATTCACATTCTGTACTCAGAAATTATTCAGCACTTAGCACAAAAAGTACTATTTGTTCTCTGAAGATTAATAACTGAATAACTGATAGCAATTTAATAAATTGGAATGAAGATATTCAATTTTCGAGAATTAGAATAAGGATATTAATTTTATACAGTGAGTCAAATATTTTTAATTACAATCTAATACAAAACAAAGAAAACATAAGTAATTAGTTTTTTTTATTAGTAAATATTTAAAGTGTGAAATACAAGTATGAGAATTTGAAAATTTTAACATAAAAAACATAACGTTATAGTTTTAACAAAATAAAATAGGGAAATTTCATTTTAATGACAGGAAATTATTGTCATACACCAAATGTATACTGGCATTAAATTAAAAATCTCCCTGTTCTGAGTCATGTGAGTAAATTCAAGGAATATTTTTTTTTTGGGGGGGGTGCAATTTTGGACATTTGATATACAAAAAGGCAAATAGGAATCCAATGTCAGATACATGTACATCCAAGTTTTATGGTTGTGTGTGTACAATATAATATTAAGTTGTATAACTAAGCCTGAAGGTGAGGTGTGTATCTTGTTGTTGTTTATTCTGCCTCCAGTCTCACTTATTGTGTATTATAATGTGAATCACAAGAGAATTTACACATTAAAGGTAGGGATTATATCTGATCTTAATTACATTGTGCTTCATAGAAATGGCTATTTGGTTCAAATCTTATTTATACATTGTATACTGTGTGACTGTGGTGTGTTCACAACAAGTAAACCTGAAACAAGGAATTATTTGAATCTGGAATAATTTTGATTTCTGGAGAATTGTTAAGAAATGTATGATGAAAACTAACCCAATTAAGGAGGGTTAGCCATGTATGCATGGCTAAAAAGTGGGGGTAGTTAGTCAATACTGAAATATCAGTGAAATTTTGTTGAACCTTAGCCATGTACAGTCAGGATTCTACTTCGTAAAAATTATCTCCCCATTACGCCAGTTCATTTTTACAATCGTAAAAATGGAAGCCATTGTAGGGATGACGCGCTGCCAATTTAGCTCTTGAAAACCGATATATTTATCCACATAGCAACATTACGATTCCTATATGCCAGTTATATTTTAAAAGACAAATGTATCTACTAGCTAATGAACATCAGTTAATGTACTTGTCTGCATTCAGTCAACTTAAAACTATTGTCTGATCGGTTGTCAGGTGGAATTTTCGAAAATTCATAAACATTTAAAAAAAATTCTAATTAAATATTTCGTGGAAGGGCAGACTAAAAATTTTCAGTGGTTGAAGACTATAAACCCTAATTATTACACACATAAAATGAAGTTTTTTCGAAGATATGCATTTTTAAGATCCAACTTAAAAGTCTGTCGTCCAGTACTTTTAGTAAAAATTTGCAATTCGAACACACCTACTCTGTTTTTGTGATTCATTAGAACGGTATTTCACTTGACCCATATATTTCATTTTTTTAGTACTGTGAATTTTCGATGTTATAGTCACCTGTAGCCTTGATATATAAAAATGATAGAATCTGAAGCGAGATGATGTCTCAAATATTTTGCTTTATACGTTTTCAAGACAAAATATCCAACTCAAACACGCCCTAACATAAAAAGGTGCACTCGATTTTCTCTTTTCGATGCAATTGTTGCCCATTTTTTGGAATTTTTTCTTGAGTCACATAATGGAAGGGCAGAAACGAAAATTAAGGAACAAATAGATTGATATGTTCTCCGTGCGTGGTATTTTTTTTAAAAAGATCGGAGGTTATGCATTTTTTAGATCCAACTGAATAGACACCCATGTCGTCGACTTGATATCTAATTGTTCTGCTTAATTATGTAATAGATAAATTGAAAACTTATGCAAATGGTGTTTTTATGATAAAATACTTTGTAATTTAGCCGAAAACTATCATTTTATTTGTTTCTATTAACTTTTAAAAATTTTGTTACTATAGTAAACATTACAGTAAGCATTTGTCGCCTTCTCTAACAAAGAGCTTCGATTCTTTTGTTCTATTTCAACTGGGTTTCCGCCTGTGTACGCATGGCTAACCCACTAAAGTTGGGTTAGTCATGTTAGTTTTCATCATACATTTCTTATCAATTTTCCAAAATTCAAAATTATTCCAGATTCAAATAATTCCTTGTTCTGATGAAAACTTAAGGTAATATTGGCAAAATACAAATTTTTGTCTGATAAGGTAAATTCCGTCATGTATTTATGTAAACCAGTAAGTGTTTTAAAAGGACTGGGTGCAAATCTGTAAAAAAAATTAAAAAAAACTTTGGTGCATGAACTGAATTTATTGCCATATAGGTGTGAACCTCCAACCTACATATTTTTAAACCCTGATGGAATGTATCTTTTTCAAAATAATATTAAATGTACATGTACAACAAACTTTGCATTGTCATGATTATGCTTGATATAGACCCTGAAAATAAAATTTGTACTTGAATGTACATGTATTTTAAAAAATGTTGCTAAAATAATGTATATAAACTTTTGTATGTAATAGGAAAAGTATTCATATCTCTCTGTCTGTGTTAACATAATATCTTTATTGTCATATAAACATAATTAGTTTGTGACATAAACAAAAGCACAGTTCATTGTAAACAAGTTTCTTGTGGTTTGAGAATTCATGTTCATTGTGTAAAATTTAAGTGTGTATACCCATCAAAAGATGTAACTTTATCAATCTGATGAAGATTAAATCCTTTAATTGCTCCTGTTCTGGTATGTTGGGCATTTGTAAGAAAAAAAAATAAATGATAAGAGATGATCATGAATGCTTTTTAAAAATAAAAAGGAAAATTTAATTTGTTTTTTTAAATACATCTATAGATCATGTAGTACAAAATGTAGTGCAGAAACAAATCCAGGTTATCTCCCTTTAATCATGAAACCCTTCATGTGTACAAAGTAAAATAATTGGATATATATTATATAATACTAATACATAATCAGCACCGTGTAAAGGTGTTCATACAGTGGATACAGTGTGTAGGCAGATGAAAGTGTACATTGTGTAATGATTCATGTAAAATATACTCAGATAAGATTCCTACACAGTTTATTGAAGGTCACTCTTTTACTATTGTACATGTACATTTGTAGTTGATTGAGGTATTTCAAACACATTTTTGTGGTTAATACCACTTGTTTCTGCATGTTTATATGTATCTTCAGAGATTTAGGACTTAAAATATTGTAAACACTCCTTTTCCCTCAGCAATTGGTAAGCTATTTCTCTGACATGTTTTGAAAATAAAAACATTTGAATATATAAAAGGGATGTTGGAAACAGCAACCAATGAACATAAAAAAAAATAAAAACAGCATCTTTTTTATCTTAATTTGTAGCAATCTGCAAGTATGTACATTGTACATGTAGTTTTTATGTTATTTTGTATTTTTTTTTTTAATAGTCTGAAAACCAACAAAGATGTATGCTGTATTAACAGTCCTAGCATTACTGGTCATGGATGGAGGAATGGCTGCCAGCAACAAGGTCCTGTCAGAATGGACTGCTGCAGATTATCCAAACCCAGCTAGAGATTGGACCCTATGTGGAAGATATGAAAAGTCCCTTGTTTGTGATCCAAATGGTCTTCTTTCTACAAAAGAAGGTATAAATAAGGGTCTATTGACTTAAATATAAAAAGAAGAAGATGTGGTATGATTGCCAATGAGACAGCTCTCCACAAGAGACCAAATGACACAGAAATTAACAACGTGTATGAGGATAGCAAGATAATACTTATCTAGAACTGCAATTCCAAATTCTTTTTGTCTGTTTCTATTTGACTGTCGGTTGCAGAGAGAACTTTGTATTTGCTATAAAAGAAGATAAGTGATCATGAGTTACCACTTACATGCCTGTAATGTTAGACTGCTAGAAAAAGATAGCATCAGTTATTGGTATAGCAATTTCTAAGTTTGTAATTAAACATTTCAAATGAAATTGATATTACTTCAATTTATTTTAAATTATAAAAAATTGTAGTTATGAATATGATAAATGTTTTTTATTACATACAGTTTAGAAGTAAATACACTGTACAGGTTGAGAATTGTATACCGGTATGCAATATAATCAATGGCAATAGAGTTGTGTCAGCCATCCGTGATGATGTCGCTATCAGTCACGATTGAAAATGCTTAATCACACCCCTAATCTGTATGATGTCACATCATTGATATCAGTCACGGTTACAAATTAAAGGTTTAATGAAACCCGTAACCTGTAATACGCCTTGTCACATGAAAAACATCTTCTTTAGGTACATGATATTGCTTTTTCAATATCACACTGTATCAACCCTCAAACATTATAGTCCCTCCAGCAGAGCTCGTGGGATTATATTGGTGTATTGGGTTGATACTGTTGTGATATACATCTCCATGTACATGTGCACATGAAAATATGTAAAAGTGTATTGAATAAAATTGAACAACTGAAGTATATACATGTACTGCAAACTAACCAATTTTTGCCCAACTTTCATAAGCAGAAAATATTTCAGAAAGAATTTGTCGCCATATTAATTCATAAACAAACTTGTGGAAATGATTTGCATTGAAGTCTGGCGGTATGCTCAAAACATGTAAAAGATGGAAAGACCAAAAAACAGCCAAAAAAAAAAACAGCTATGAAAAAAAAGGTTTAAGGAAAATGAACTTGCTTAACAAAAACACACAAAAATATTTATATAAAGCAAATTGACTGGCACATATAATTCAAACCAATGTTTAAATTTTAGCTGACACTCTGGACTGGTTGTTGAGAGGAGTAGTGAATGATACCAAGTGTCCATGCTCTGCCTGGAAATGTGAATCAAAGAAATCGGGATATGTTGTTGCTGTAGCATTGGTCAGGAAACTAAACATTCCAAAAACGTAAGTTTGACACTAGGAAATTGGTATAGGCATAGTAAACACACAATAATTAAGTTAAAAATCACCTTTGCTTGTGTGGAGTATTTCCCAGTAAAAAAAACAGATAATAAAGTGATTTATTATACTTCATGTCAAAATGCTAGATTTTGATTGGTTTATATGAGAGAGACAATTTACTCTATTCCATGGCAAATACTCTATTACCATGATTATCTTCACGGGGACGCTTGATCAAGTGTGCGTTTTAATAAATAAGGATGATTGTTATTTACAAGACGTCATAGTTTATTACTTTGAATTTGAAATTTGATAGACAATAATAACAGAACATTCAGTATAATAAATTAAATAACACATATCTGAGACGGTGATAGAGCAGATTGTTACCCCTCGAAAAGACATGTCAACCTTGGCTTCGCCTCAGTTGACAATGTTTTCTCGGGGTAACAATCTGCTCTATCACCCTCTCAGCTATGTTTTATTTATGTATTGTTACCCTGTCATATGCACACAGAGATTGCAGGAGAATCACTCACAGTCAACAGCATTTGTTGGGTAATATCACAATGAAGACACATTTTTAACTGTCAAATTATCTTAATTGTTCTATAGATATTCTTTACGATAATTTTAATTTAGAGCATGTCTTCTACATTTTGTTCTAGATACAATAACATAACACTGTGTCCTCTACTCTCCCCTACGGTTACGATTTCTTCCCCTTCGTCACAATTGAGCAGAATAAGAGCGAATCACACCTAGTACACTTAATGCTTTTCATGGGATTCATTTATTAAAGGTTGCACCAATTAATTCCATGATAAAATATGTTTTCTTATGAATTATCATGAAAGAAAAGATCAGAACTGAAGAAAATATGAGATTTTAGTGTAAATCAACAATTTATTTGTATATAGTTCACCATGTTCAAGATGGACCATTTATGGAAGGAGTGCATATTTTAAAAAATTTGCTATCAAATAAATTTATTCTGTAGGTAAATTTAGGAAACATTCATTATTATTTATTATCATGAAATTTGTTTCAGAGGGGAAAACGATATTGTTAAACAACAATTCACTTTTGCTCTCCTTCGAGAAATGGGTCAGAATTGTAACCCTGATGGAAGAGTTGTGAACTCAGTGCTATGTTATGCTATTACAGCTACTTACTTACTTACCAGACTATATGCTGTTACATGTATTTAAAGTCATTAGTGTTAAGTTGGTAAAAAGAAAACATGTATTATTCCTGTACAATTGCATTGCACATAAAAGTTTTGGTGAAAACAATATCAAACCAAAGTTTTTAACTACCATATAATTGATGGTGGATTGGTGTATACTGTGGGCAGTGTGTGCACTAATGTGATTAACTAATGTACAACAACAACAACAACAACAATACTTTATTTTAAGAGGGTTACTTACACAGTTAGCTATATCACTAATCTTCCCTGAGGCCCTCATAAAAAAAAAATCATAAACAAAATGCAAACATATACATTGCATACATTAGTATAAAAGTCAAGTATGATAATAATGTTCAATACAACTTGATAAAATGTTATGAAATGTATCTAGTATCTAGTACATGTATCTAGTCTCAAATTCAAAGACCATACATTTAATATAAAAATCAAATCAAATAAAAAAAATGGTGCAAATTCCAATATAGGAATGATACCAGCTGACATTTACAAAGTACAAATAAAAAAATAGAGTCAAAATAAATTCTGTGTCATTAAAGAATATTTGTACAATGGGAGACAACTCTAGTTTACCTGACTTTTAAAATCTTTGTAGTGGCCCTGCTCCAGTTGATGACAATGAGAAACTTGCAGCTCTAAGACAGTTTGCATTCGACCTTGAGAACAATAAATGGAGGTTTGGAGAATGTAACGAGGATGTTATCATCGCTTACTCGGCTGAAGAGGGAGCAGTAAGTTTATATGTGTTTAAAATTTTCGTTATCTTGGTTGCCTGCTAGTTACATATGGCCAAAGCTTGAATAAAATTCGGATGAAGTCTCTTTGAATTCCTTTGAGATTTCATACTTAAGTTAATGAATTAAAGATGTCAGTAGGACAGCAATTCATCAACAAAAACAGAAAAAGGAACATGTTTAAAAATTATTCCATCATGTGCACATTATATTTTTTTACACTCGAAAATTCAAAGAATTAAAAGCCAAAATTAATGTGGCCTAATTGCTGAGGAAACTTTTTAAAATTTGAACCAACAAATAATGAAAAAAAAAAAAAAAAAAGCCCACTTACTGATTAAGAGATATTTTTTATATCTGAAGCTTGGAAAATTTCATTCATTTTTCAGAATGACAAAATTGAGTTATTTCCCTTGGACTGTAGATTATTTTTTGAAATTCATGTTTAAGGTTTTCACATTTGCTGGAGGTACTGCCAATAGAAGATTAAACCAGGACTTGATTGATAGTATAACTGCTCACAGAAAACATTATTTTAGAGGAAATAAACATGTCTATGCTGGCCTTAGATCAATGGTCATGGATTATAGGTGGGTACATCAAAGACTTGAAAAAACATTGAATTATCTTAAAATATAACTGGTCATAGATAGTATTACTTTAGTGGAATCAACAAATCTTTTGGTGGTTTTAGATCTATGATCAAGAAATATAGGTCGGTATTGATACTGTTTAGAACACATGGATTTATTGAATATTATCACATTACAAAAAAGGCTTTCCAAAACAGTCATAAAAAAACTCATATTGTCCTATTATAATCCTCTTTTAAATTTTTTTTGATAGATGTCATGATTCCAAATGTTTGCCAATGTTATATAGTTTGGAGAGCATATGAATATTTAAAATAAGTTTACACATATCTTGACGATGAGGGGGAATTCAAAAAGAAAAAAACAGGGTTTCTTTTTTGAGAAAATTAGCCCATGGAGATATTTTAGGGCAAACTTTAGTTGCTGTTAACTGTATGTCTGTTTGAAACCATTTTCTTGATTATAACTTTCAATTTACTTTGTGCAATATTCTTTTTATTTGGCATCGTATTATTAGATGGATAGATAGATAGATTTATTTGATCAAATATCAGCATAAAACGTTACTAAAATCTTAAGACAATTGTTGGTACCTAATCTGGATTGACCATGAAAGCCATATGGCTTATTTCCATTGTGGTCCATTTATGTTACATTTTTAAAAATATAAAAATATAAAAATATAGTTATAAGAAATCATGACTTTGGCAGGTTTTATACAAATAATGGTAAAATTATAATTTACGATGATATTGACTAATTTGCTATAAAAACCATTGCTTTCCTTTTTGACAGAAAATCTTTCATATCAGATTTAAAAGATTCAAAATTTTTGTTGCTCTTTAAGTCATTTGTCTACAAATTCCAATCTTTTATAGCATTATAATAAAATGTTATGTTTGTTGCCCTTTTATAGGTGGTATAAAAAAATGTATACACTATATATTGTTGAATAATTATGACAATCTTTGACCTTAGTAAAATTATCATTGATAATAAGATGTGTCTAGTTCAATTTCACAATGATGCTACTTTTTAAAATTATTTTGTAAAATCCAGAAAAAAATATATTTTATGAAAATGCTGGCTTTTTTCCCCATTTTTTGTGTGCCATTTCTGTTCAAATTTTGAAAAAAAAAAAGTGAATCAAATTTTGGTTTCAGCAATCATTGGAACATATTCCTTGGAGGCCTCTGCTTGTTTGAATCTTTGAAATTAGAAAGAGAAAAAAAGATGGTTAAAAAAGAATTTACCGGTATTAACTGCTTAAATGTGTATGAATACTGTATAAAGCAGTGTGTCCTTCCTAAAGATAGATACAAGAACCCTGAAAAAATCTTCCCCGTCTACTCTAAATATCTCACCCTAGGTCAGAGGAAACATAGAATTATTGAATTATGGCCTTAACTAATTGTATCATTCAGAAGTTATGGCCCTTGAATAGTTTAAAATCAAACATGATGAAAAAGGGCTTGATACTCAGGGAAACATTAAGTAAAATGATGCCAGTCATTGATTAAGGGAAAATGTTTGATTTTAGCAAATAATCTTTTACTATTCCTGTTAGCAAATTAAAATTGTCCAGAATTAATACTTTAATGGTTAACCTTCAATTACATCTTAACTTTACTACCTTACTTGTTGAAGTAAGCGTGTAGTATACGGCTAAAAAATTTGTTGAAGCTTACATTGATAAAGAAATTGAAGGCAACCAGTAGATGAAACGTCTTTAAAAAATGGTTTAATTACTACAATAAATGCTTATATTGCTTGTATTTTCAGGGAAGCGTTGACAGAAGGTGGGTTTGTATTTTCCCAACAGGTAGATCAGAGCCCTAAAGGAACAGGAGCACAGGTTCTAAGTACTGTGACATCTATCCTAAGTCTAGTCATCTGTACATTCTTATTACAGTAAATACACAGTTTGGAACAGTGATGTGACAACAATTTATCGAACAAGTATCAGAAGGGGATGGAACTGTTTTACCATACCTTCCAGTTGATTCCTTTGAAATTAATTTAATAGCTCATACAAAAATTCCAAAACACCCTCAACGTTTTGTGGTAAGGAAAGATTATGAGACATTAATGAAATTTTCTTCCCATTTAACTTGATGGTAACCAGTTCAATCATATATGAAATCCATATTGTATGAAAAAGTTGTTTGCCATCCAAGATGGCCAAAATTCCTGAAAAATTGATGTATTTTAAAAGATGTTACTTATTATGTCTTTCCAATCCATGAAGACTTTGTTGTGTACAGTTAATGGCTGTTCCATAAAAACATACATGGGAATCAGGGAAGGCACTTCCAAATCTCAGCGATGGGTGGATGTCATATATGTTTTTGCATTGTGGAAATATAAGTAAAATTTTAATTTGCCTCTACAGGTGGTTACCCCATTTTTAAAGTGCCTTCCCTGGGTACAATGTATGTTTAAATGGAACAGCCCTAACTCATGCCAGCAGTTTCTTAAATTTATATTTACATTTTTTTATTAAAAAGAATTGCATCTAGAAAAAAAATGAATGAAGAACTTTGTAAACTAATGCAATGATGATTTGAAATCAAAAAGTTTGACCAATGTATGATAACAGAGAATAGTTTCAATACATGTAATGTACATGTATTATGACTGAAATTCTACTATGCAACTATTTAATCAAAAGATTTTTAATCAAAGTCTGAAACAAATGTTATTTTTTTACTGATAAAGAGGTTGTTTTTTTATAAATAGTCTTTAATTATAATAGATTTATTATAAGGCTAAAAAATTAGTTGTTTTTTTTGTAAAATAGTACATGAAATGTTTGTTGTAATAATCAGGAAAGAATGAAAATTTGATATTTTTATCAAGTTTACCTGAAACAGTGTCCTTCATGACACATTTGTTTCATCTTTTACCCTGGTAAAAAATTTGAACCAGTTTTTCACTGTTTCAATTATAGACCTTTGAGGTAATATTAAAGCTAAGAGTTTAAATTGATTTTTTATGAAGTTTCAATTATATCAGCGGAAAGAAAACATTTAAACCTAGGATTGTTAATTGATCATTTACATAAGGATATGTAATATTAAAATGAGTCTATATTTAGTTTGTTGTTTGAACTGGAATATTGGTATTTTATTCATTATAGATTTTGTTATTCAATGTTTTGACTGATGGTTTCGATTGTTATGCGCTATGGATATATAAAGAATTTTTTAATTGCTTTTCATACATGTAGATCTGACATTTAAATACATGTATTGATTTTTTGTACATGTCAATAGGTGTAAATTTTATCTCATTGAATTGTATTTAATTTATGTTCTATATAAGAGATTAAGTATATCTCCATGTGGGAATCTAACAGGTTTTGTATAAATAAAGGCATGTGAAAAAATATAAACTTTCTACTTGTGAAACGTTAATTTTGTACCACTCACTTTACGAGTAGCAATAAAGGACTTCACTCCAAATTAGCCAAATTTTTTGGGAAAATGAATTTCAAATTAATGTCCATACGTTTTCCCCTTTTGATGGTAAAATCTTTTGAAGAAATTATGATGAAAGAAGTTCTTTTGATATTATGCTCTAAAAAAATAATATACTTAGTTTAAACAATATATTCATAGTTTGTCAGTATTTTTTTATCCATAAGACCATAAATGTTTCTTGATTTTTTCAAAATGAAAATGAAGAAATTTCAAGTTAAACTTGGTGTGCATGAACAAAAGTGTATGATACCTTCTGCTTGATTCTCACATGGATTTCAAGGGTCTGAAGAAAATGGGGGAAGGGGGGGGGGGGGGGGGGGGGGGGGGGGGGTGGGGGGAAGTGTCTGAAATAGTAAAAATATCAAATAGTGTAGCCATGCTATATTTTTTTTTCGATCTAAAGAGAAGGACATCTTCACGACTTATTTCATACACACAAAAATATGTCCAAGGATATCTACATACAGTGTCATGAGAATATGTATGAAATGAAAATGTCTAGTGCATTAAAGATAATTTAAATAGATGTATTGCATTCCTACATATACTAATGTATGCTTGATTTCCCTGGGGATAGATTGCAAAAAAATGCAGAGTCCACCCTTAAAAAAACTTAATAAGAACCTGTGAATTTATCACTCTGTTGACATGCATTTTATTTCAAGTATTCGACCATTGTGGTCAACAGATACCAAAAGGTCGATTCCCGTGACCGATTCATTGTCACCCTTTGTTTTCAGGGTGAGAATTACCGATAATTATGTTTTAAAGTCCTAGGGGTCATTTCCCTTGTATTACTTTTTCTATAGTAATTTTAGTTAATAAGCTCACTAAGAGGATTATGATGTGGGATTTAATACAAATATTATATTTATTGTCCAAAGTTATGACATTACTGTACTTAAGCTTTTTTTTAACGATTTAGTTATGACAAATTATATACATATTTTTACTGCTGTTTTGTGTTATAGATATATTTTAGTCCATGTTTTGTAACTATATTTTATGCAAGCTTGTGAAATGTTTTAAGGTTGATATTTAGAATGTATGAATGTTTGGAATGAAGAAAATTGATGATGTGTTAATAATTATTAAAAACAGTTTGCCTGATTTATTAAAATTTACATAGATGATGATTTGAATAACTTATTTGATTGGTTTTGACAACATTTTGAATATTTTTTCTAAATTTTAGATATGTGAGGGTTTGACAAATAAATAAGAAATATCCGTAATTTGCAAATAGTAGAAAAAGATTCTGAATTTTGAGAAAAATGTTTTTTATACTCCAATGTTTTATTCCTAAATTTGGTTGATTAGATGTCAGTAACTTTATTCTTCATTATGCAGTAACTCAAGTAGCTGAATTAGCTGTTAAAAAAGGGGGAGTCATCTATCACCATCTATTGAAATCCCATTAAGAAAAAGTTATTGGATTTTAACATTTGGACAAAAATTGCAATTTTCAGGTTATTTTCCCCCTCATCTCAAATGTCAATGGAGTTTGCTTGACTTTAAAAAAAAAAGTCTATATTATTTGAATGTCCATTCATAATCATGTCTTCCATATCTATTATGATACTCAATATTTACAATGTAAAATGATGGGTTTTTGTGATTTGAAGAAAGAAAGAAAAAAAAGATAGCAACTCGTCAGAATTGCAGCAAAAATCTAATAAATGTATTTCTTCCCGTTCAGTTTGAATTTTTAACTTTAATTGAATTGAATTTAACTAAGATCCTTGAAATATTTTTTCCATACTTTCCATTTCTCAAAATGTTTTATTTTCCATCAAAATTAGTTTGTTCTCAAGGTTTTCCACTTCGGATTTTTTTTTAAAAATCACAATAATTCCCCATTTTACATAACATTATGGTGCTATAGTTAATTTAGTTACATGTAATTTACTTAATATATATGTTTTGATATCCTGCTATATTTGTAATTTTATACACATGTATGTAATTATTTTATGAATAATTAAAGCTTTATCCTAAGAGTATATTTGATAAAAAAAATTATGCTGTTTCGGAAAATGCTGCAAACAAACAGTGCAATACAAATTGCAAGTTTTAATTAATGCAATACTGACAATAGTTCAATTTTGGCCATAATAAAAACATCACAAACATACAGTATTGGTTATCCTACAAGGATAATTGTTAAAGATATATTTTGATCTTCATAATTTTAGTTCAGAAAAATTGAAATCTACAGATAGATTTTCTGTCTGATTAATAATATAAATAAGTTAAAATATCTGTCTGACATTTTCTTAAAGTCTGCCTGACCACAAAAATGTTTGTCTGAAATTTTGTAAACTTTATTGCTTTGTTTGACAACAGATTGTGGTCCAATTTCAACATATGCAATGAATTTGTCATTTTATTTTAATATTAAACATTTAGAATTCTCTTAAGCTGTGGCAGTATCATTTTTTTTTTCTATATTTTAAAAGAACAGGTTTTAGATTTGAGCTTTAAAAAAGGGGGTACTGAATGTTGAAACTGTACCATAAATTGTTGCTATTATTTTGCCAGTTGGAAAAAATTTTAAAAAATCCTGCATTTTCCTCTTCATATCTATTTCAGAAATAGTCCAGTGGTTCTTGGGGTTATATTAGTTAAAATAAACTCCTCTTAACAAAGCAGATGAGAGAACATTTGTGAAATTTTAATATTTCTGATGTAAAGCAGATACATGTATGAACAATTTGGAAATATAAACAATATTTTTTTTCAAAAGTGGACAAGTTTTGAAAATTTGTTTTTGATAAAATCTTTTGCAGTTGTTAATCCAGGATAATCTGGACCATTTCTGAACTGAACATGAATGGGAGAATTATCTTTTAATAGCTTTATTTAAGGTTGTAAATACTTAAATTATACAGTGATACAGATTTTATTTGCTTTGCTTATGTTTGTTATTTTATTAAAAAGAAAGAAAAAGAATCTATGCCTTCAATTTGCAGTTTAATCAAATGCCACATTTTGTATGAGTGATTTTTTTTTTTTTTTTTAATTTTTTGAGGGAAGATGGCATTGCCATTTTAATACCTGTAAAATTGAAAACATGCATTTTAAAATTTGGTCCCTTTTGTTTTACTAGTATCGTGTTTATGTTTGTTTTTGAGGGCTATTTATTATGATGAAAAATAAGTACAAAAAGATAAGTTAGCTTAGATGTCTGTTATGGTAGAGACATATAAAATCTGGTTGTGGTTAAATTGTGTTTTGGGGATGCTGTTTCATTTAATGAAAAAATAAGATGTGGTATGGTTCAGGTTGCCAATAAAGACAACTTTCCACTGGAGTCTAAATGATGTGGATGAAAGCAACTAAGTTTACCCGAAGTGCCAAATGTCATAGGTATGATATCCAATCAGGTCATACCAAAGACTTTAAAATTGGTATTTGCAGCTTCTCTGTTTAGGCATGTCACTTTTAGGAATTAAAGAGTAAGAGTAGAGACTGGTCAGCTTGGAACATAATCAATGTGTCAGGGTAGCAGTGGCAGATCCAGAACTTTTTATAGGGGGGGCATTGACTGCCATAAGAGGGGGCCTGCTACAGTCATGCTTCAGAAATTTCCTATATAATCAACCAAATTTTTCCCACAAAAGGAGGGGGGCCGGGCCCACCAGGCCCCTCCCCCCTGGATCCGCCTATGGATAGGATACAATGTCTAACTACACACTGTTTACTTGTTAGCTTTATTAACATTCAAAATCTATCTTAGCAAGTCTTAAGAAGTACAAAGCAGGGTATCTTCATATTACATTGACATATTATTGTTAAAAATATACATTTACTACTTGCTGCTTGACATTAATTATCAAATCATCCACCTCTCTTTCCATCCTTTTTCTGTAATTCCAAGAACGGTCAAACAAATTTTAAAAGTGGAGGAGCCTGTGGTGATCCCTGCATATTCTATATCATGTTATCGGTGGATCGAGTTTGTATGTCTAGCTTGAGCAGAAATGGATTCCTTTTTTGTCTGTGTGGACGGCTTGCAAGTCATTTTATAAGTTGGGGCTAGTTGTTTTTCATCCGTTTATGTTATTTTGTCAGAATCTGTTTTTGCAAAGTCTTGTGATAGGGTTATCGCTAACAAAATTGTTTTTATCCAAGCCTGTAACAGGTTCAACCAAAGATTTTGATTGTATTTTTGATTCTCAGAACAGGGGCGGATCCAGCCATTTTTAAAAGGGGGTACCAACCCTGGAGAAAGAGGGGATCCAAATTAATGTCCCCATTCAAATATATTGATCGTCAAAAAAGGGGGGCTCCAACCCCCGGACCCCCCCCCCCCCCCCCCCCCTCCCTGGATCCGCAACTGCAGAAAATCAATCGACATTTAAAGCTGAGACTATTACAATCTTATAGTAGTCTCAGTTTAAAAAGATGATCGAAGAATGGTTGTATGAACTTGTGTCGGATTTAAAAAAAAAAAAGAGATTTATATGGCTCCTGTCTTTTCCTTGTAATGATGCTTTTACAATTATAAGGTTTAAATTAAAGTAATAAAACATCAATGGCCATAGACATACATAAAAGGATATGAATTGAGTGTTGACCCAATAAATAATATTGTGTACACATCTCAAACTTATGAATATTAAATAATTTTAGCATGAATTAAACAAGTAGGCGGGATGGTCAGAGAAGTGTTTGTTTAATACTTGAAAGTTTGTTTTTCTGTCGACTAGACTTCACGCCCTATCCTTCAAACAAGTGTAGGGATTTTACTAGTTCCAAGTGGTTGAACCAGTAGACTATTGTAAAACAAATATTGTCGTTAGGTTTAGAGGACAATAGTTCCGTCGATGTTTTCAAATAATGCCAAGGTGACATGTTATTTGTATTTTGGTACTGAAGTCGGTGTTATCCTCCTTTAACCCCCGAAGTACGATGCGGATCCAGGATTTTAAAAAAAGGGTAGGGCCCGGGCAAACTCGGCAACGTTTGAAGTGAAGACAATTCTTCAAACATACAGGATTGCTTCAAATGCCTCCGTCTGTTAATCGTTTTTTTTTTTTAATCTAGCAATTTTTTTAGGTTAGCATAATTTATTTCCAAGCTCTTTTATGAATGATTATTTATGTTTGTCAGTTGCAATTGAGGATACAAAAAAAAATCAAAATGTTCCTGTCCGCACGTATGAATATCAAACGAACGTCCCCTGGCCTGAATATACAGGTTTTAAGTTTCAGTCCAATTTTCTGAATTATCTGAATTCAAAGGACTGATGTTTTCCCCCTAACATCTGCTGTATACATC